AGATGAACTGATACAGATCTTCTTGGTCTACATTTTACATTAGGACTGTTTTTATTCAGTTCATGTTCATCAACTGAAACTTTGTTATTTATAATTGCAGACTCTTCCACAACATCTTCAATTCTTGTTTCTTGTTTCCCCTTTTTTCTATTTGCTAAAAATGCTCTGACTGCACTTGACTTCCCAAGCACTGCTTTCTTTCTCATGGTACTTTTCTTGGCAATAGAAGGCTTAAATACAGTAGTTGCCTGTTCTTCTATCCAGTTTTGTGACCGAAGTTGTTCTAATTTTTCAAAGCGTGAATCGCAATTCTTTACCTCCATATACATCATATCCCAGAATCCTTGTAAGTCTCTACACGTGACTAACATTTGTCCTTTTCCTGTTTCGCAATCGGAAACTAGACCACGAAATCTTTCAAACTTTTTGCTTATTAGCAAATTCGTTTGTCCAACAGCTTGATTAATTTGGTATTGCGCATCTTCCGTGATATTGGATTCTGTCTTTACTTGTTCCCATTTTATGCATAATTCGTTCAATCTATCTATTTCTTTGTTTAGGAGAAACTGGAAATACTGTGCAGTGCGTTCTTCCTCTTCAACTGAAATGTTCAAATTCTTCATTACGTTATCTTTTGTAGGAATATCATCGCTACGCATAGAGCCTAGACTAAAACCACGTTTCAACTGTTGCTCTTTTCTAGCATTACTTTTTCCACGACTGGAGACTACATATGGGGAATAAAAAACTGGTTCGCTAAAAGAATTAGAATTTGCAGGTGTCGGTGTATTATTGTTTGAGGGAGACAGTGCACTTTTAGCATTGTTATCAAGTATTGTATCAACTTCTTTAATACTATTATTAAATTGTTTATTTGGTTCTGTAATATTATTATTAAGTGATTCATCATTTTTCTCTTTTTTTTTCTCATTACTATCTTTATCAGATATGATAGCTTCATTTGTATCATTTATATCTTCATTGGATGATGATACATTTAATGTAAAAGTTTCATTCAAGCTCTCTTCTGAGGAATTGGTATCATCTTTCTTATTAATTGTTGCTGATGCAATTTCTTCCTTTATAAATTTTGTAGTACTGCTATTTGTACTTGCTCTTGTCAATCTCGAAGAAGGGAGCACAAATTTACTTACTACACTAGGTGTCATACTATGTGGGTCAACTCGTCCAAATAAAAGCTCTTGCTTCACTCCTGCTGGAAACTTGAATTCATAATTAGCTGGAGCAAAGGAATGCTTCTCTTTCTTGTTACTTTCTTGTTGAGATGCTTGTTTTGTTTGTTGAGTTTTCAACATCAATCTTTTGAGGGTGGCTCTTGTAACTCTTTTCGGAGGTGTAGGTGGTTTTTTAACTTTTGGAATATCTTGGTCTTTGATCCCTGGCGAGTATAATTTATGGTGTACTACACCAACAACAAACGGACGCCTTTTCTTCATTTGTTCCATCCGTTTACGTTTCTCGCGTTCAATTTTCCATTGTAAGAGCCTTTTTGCACGTATTTCTACCGGATCGGGTGTCTCTATTTCTGTAAACATAATCAAATAATGTAAGTAGGCACTCACAGAGATTTTATATACACAGTTTTACGAACCCAAGTTCTGTGATGTCGATGAAGTTAATCCATTCCTGTTTTCTCCAACTATTTTATCCCTCCGATTTTTACGTAACTCTTTTTGCTTTTCCGCTCGAATAGCTCGTTTTTCATTAACATCTCCAAAAGGACGTTTATCTTTATATAGTTTATAAAGATATGACATTTTAATTCGTGTAATAAGTGTAAAATTCAACACACAAAATTAGCGTCTAACTGCCTGTCACTGCCTATTCAACGTGGTTCAACGATAATGTGCAACGGAAAGCAGTTTGAAATTTACAAATTGACTCCGCAACAAATGTTACCAGATATAACCCTCGTTTGTTTTTTAGGCATGCGCTTTGGAAAACAGTGATGTATAGAGCCAGAAATGGAGGCATTAGCTCCGTTGAACAGAAATCCTAATATTCCTACCATGAAGACTGTATAAGGAGTGTTAATTGTGTAGTGTAGAAGTGTTATCAAAATCCCAAGCTATGAATATTTCTACCACTCGCGGCGCATCATATCCGTTCGGATCATATCATAACGGATTTTCATATCAGTTTTCTAGTAACTTTCGTAGAGAGTTGAATCTCCTTATACAGTCTTCATGATTCCTACTATAAGTATCATGCGATGAATTTTAAATTACGATCAATACTACGAGCATTCTGGAAAAATTTTTGTCGAACATTTTAAAGTGTTCTGTAAAAAAGAAATCAGAATTATCTAATGCTAACCATGTCAAAATTCTTATACAATATGTATTGATATAAAAATAAATGACATATATACGTATAATTTGTTCATTAAAAAATGTAATTTTTATCTTATTTTTTAAAATTAATTTTATAAAGCGCCATCTATGATACCAGTTAAATGTAACTAGATTGAGATAAGCAATTTGCCGCCATTTCGTAATAAATACTACAGAATTAAAATACATTAAATTAAGAGTGTTTAACAAGGCTTTAGATGTAAATAGCAGTTTAATAGTCGATATAGAAGGCGTAAGAAAAAGAGTAGTGATAAGTGAACAAAAGTGAGGTTATCTAGCATAAGTTTTTAAATAAAGGACAAGAACAGTATAAAGTAATAAATCCAATAAAAAGAAATAAAATTTTGGTCTAGAAAATTGTTGTGGATAAAAATAATCTTAGCAATCTGACACTCTACCCATGCTTTATTATTAATATATATTAAAATAAATATTATGTACATGTTAACAGACATAAATATATTTTATTTGAACTGTATTGAATGTATTAAGTTCAGGAGAAAAGTAATTTTTTATTGCGAAAATGTAACAGTATTTTCTGTTATAAAAATATCATCAAGTAAAAATAAATTAAACAATATATTTTATGTTTAATATTGAAATTAAATGTTGAATACACAAGATTAATTTATTTATTTGTTAATCTCGTTTACCTGATTTAATACATACAAATTTACATTTCTTCTTACAACTCTATTTGGTAACATCTTTATTTTTATTAATGATTTAACGATTAATATGCATAAAGGGTATACCGCGAAATATCGTATTAATCTAAACTTAAACAACTATTAACATGATCTACCAAAGATTCCATATTTCTGAATGTGCAATCACATTTCGGACACGAAAACGATGATATCACCGGAGGTACTAAGTGATCTTTACTGGACTGAAAATAAAATTTTCATAATGAACAGACATTTAGATGCTTTGTTGCATATTTATAAATTATGAAACCAATAATGAAATTGTACCAGATCCATATGACGACTCAGTTTTTTGATTTCTTCATATAATTTGTTACTATACTCTATTTGATTCTGTAAATCTGTATTTAATTTATCTTTTTCTAGCATTAATGACTCCTTGATTTTTCTTTCCTGTTTAAAATCTTCTTCATAAAGCAGTAACTGTTTCCGTAACAAATTGCGATTTTCCATCTGCATTACAAATAAGAAAATTATATCTACATCAGACAGTGTATATGTATGTATAAATCAGTACTTACATATTGTCTTGTTTCTTTGTATAGTTCTTTTAAATTAGATTCTTGCCTCGTTATAGTTTCATGCAATATACCTATTTCAGTAACTAGTTCATTGTACATCCCTTCAAATTCGTTCTTTTTCGCGTCTAAGCTTTCTTTGTAATGACTTTCGCACAATTTACTCTGGTGATCGAGTGACGATTTTTCTGCTTGTAAACTTAACCTTTCTTGTTGTAATAAATCCATCGCATTATTTAAGTTTTTGTATTCCATTTCGAAATTTCTTTTTTGATTGCTAAATAACCTTTTTTCTTCTTCAAGCCTTTCTCTCTCTTTAATAAGTGATATCCTTCCTTCTTCTAGTAATTGTTTTTCTTCAGTGTTTTGTCCTTTTGTTTCTGTAACTTTCTCAGTAGATTCGGATGTCATATTAGTTTGTGTTTCATTTTCTTCAGTTTTCTTTCCCAACAATGTTTTCAATTCGTATAGAATTGAATTACAATCCAATAAAGCATTTTGGAATTCACTTTGTACCATAATTGAATTTTCTTTCTCTTTGATAAATTTCTGTCGTTCTTTAATTAACTTATCATAACAATCAGTTAGTTGATTTTTATAATGATGGAATTCTGTGCTGTCGGGTAGCCAACTATATTCAAGATCTGTGACTTCTGTATCGGATTTATGTAACGATTTAGCATTTTCTAGTGTTCCAACAAAATTTTTTAAATGGTTTTCTATAAGGGTACAATGATTACTTTGTTTATCAAAGCAAGTTGTTAATTCTTGTAACTTTTTTTTATAATGTTGTATCTTTTGATTATATTGTTGGTTATATTTTTTGGGATTCACAGGACTTTTAATACAAAATTGTATAGGAGCTGTAGCCTAAAAGTATTTTTACAATTATATACTCTAATACATTTTCTTATAAAAATACATTTTCTTATTCTTATCCAAATACTTACATGTTGTAATTTATGTTCAAATAGGGCAACTGATTCTTTTAAAGATTTAATTTCTTTATCTTTTATTAGACATTTATCACATTCTGCACAATTATTTATACCTTCAGAAGAACTAGAAGTACCATAAATAAGGGATTTATCAAAATAATTTGAATCTAGCGACTTTGACATTGCAGCCGACATTTCTAACTTTTTTAAACTCAGCCTTTGCTCTTGTATCGTACAAGTTGCTTGTTTCAATTGAGAACTCATTAAACTCGACATACTAAGTAAATTCTCAACATCAGAAGATAACTTTTTACATTCAAGTTTAGAAGTATTTAACTCATCTGTTAATGAAGTTACTTGTTCCTGAAGTTCAGTTTCAGGAATACATGTCCTTGTTTCCATTTCATTCATTTTTAAAAACTGTAAGTTTTGTTCGTTTCTCTTACTATTATTATAGCATATCTCATATTCGGTTTCTGTATTAATCTGTCCAGTGGAAAGCTTCATTTTTAATTCCGAATTTTCCTTTTTCAGGTGATTTATTAATTCCCTCATATCAGAAAACTTTTTCTTATTATTCTGATGTACTCTCATGATTTCTTCTTGCCAACTGGCTAAGGTATTAAATTGTTGTTTCATAGCGATATTATTTTGTTTCAATGTTTCCTTGAGCTTCTCATTCTCTTGCAATAATTCATTTAGTTTCGTCTCTATCTGGGAATCTGTAGATTCCCATGATGCCAGCATAGAATTGACATCCTACATAGAGAATTTATTGTTAGGCAATAAATTTAAAAAATTTGAAATATTCATTTCTAGTTAAATAATAGATACATACAAGTGACATGCCTTTTTGTTGTATATCAACATATGATGCAAGCGACGAAGCTTGAATGGAATCTAATGAATCTTTGCCTAGCACCACAAAGGACAATGCGTCGCTTTCATCAACGACATTGTAATTTGTTAATGGAGAATGCGAGCATAGAGAAATATCATTGTCTAATATAAATCTAGCCTTTCCATTGTTGGTAGTAAAACCAAGACTCTGTAAATGAGTCTCTGGTTCAAGAGATAATTTCGAATGAATGCTCGATGATTTCTTCGAATCTTCATCTCCTTTGGGTGATATTGTATCCTGTTTGGACTCCATGGCTGAAATATGTTCCTGGTTAATTTGATCTTTGCATTCGAACACCTTGCGTTTATTTGGTCCATTAAAACAAATTGAGATACATTATACCAGTATATGAGAAAAATAAATAAACTCTAAAATTGTTACACGTTTAATGACGTTTATCATTTTTCATTTCAATGAAATTTGGACTTACCAAAATCATTATCCAATAAACCATACAAAAGTCAAGGAAAAATGACAGTTGACCAAATTTCACTTTCAATGTTCTTATAACATGACTGCAAGAATAATGATGGCAGTATGCACTATGATGCACTATCATTCGCAATTATGAGATGAATGAATTAGGACGAGTGGATCGTGAATGAACGATTACAGGAATGCATGTGTGGGGAGTTTGGTAGGATGATGATATTGATAGTTGGCTGTCAGCTGTTATGTGTAACAATGCAAATATACGTAATGGACATAACGTGGAATACTATACAAATAGTAATGTGGAATAACGTTATACATTACCAAATGCAGTTGCTGCATTTAAGTTTCGATAATTGACTTTTAGATTGATATGCACTAATTGTGAAAACCCTAGAATGCACTGGAATGCCTTGAAAGCGCATCAGAAAATGTCAAATGTTTTCTTACCGAATGAGACAACTAGAGGGCCTCAAAATTGAGATGCGTGAAATTTGTTCTCGGCAGTGATTGGCGAGTCATAAGTCATAAATCTGGAGCGTGGTAACTGCTCCCTCTACCTAGAGACCCTCTAATCAGAGTCACGAAATGACGTCAAAGTTAGGTCGGGTTCCGCCATTTTCTACCTAATGGCGCAAAATTCAATTTGAAACGCACAAAGTGTTACATTGTTTGTATGCTGAAGTCTGAATCATTTTTTCGGAGAATAAGACAAAAGCCACGTAAATAATATAATTTTCTTTTTATTTCTTAGATATTGTGCATGGATTTCGTGACTTTGATTAAAGAGTTTCTACCTGTAGCGCTACATCAGCGACATCTATCGGGACGTTTCAAGTGCAAGGGATTACAAATTAGCGCCAACTTTTCGAATGACGCAAAATCAGATCTGGGCTAGTTGAAATGAAAATAAGAAACAACTATTTGGAATTATTTACTTCGTACCGTTATTTTCAATAGATTTATTTGAAAATAAAAATACTATCAACTCATTTGAAATAATATTTAAAAGAATATGGAACAAAAGTAATTTATTTTAAGAAATCTTTACAATTTGCTTTAAGCGATACTCGTTCTCCAAAAACTTCATCCGTAAGACCTTTCAATAAATATTGCGACAAAAGAAAATGATTAGATTATTCCAAACAATGTGTATAAAATTATAAAATAAAATAACGTATCATTTGAAATAACAGTTGAAATAATATTATTATTTGAAATAAGGTTATTTTAAAAATACTCATATCTGGTCAATACGATACATCGACGTGGTTGAATACTTCCATCGATGATTGGTGCAAGTACAAACACATATACTCCACTTGCGGCATGTCCTCCTGTTTATGGGCAGACGCGTGGAGGACGATGAAAGTGCTTTTGACGCGAGAAACGTGCATAATCGACACGTAGGAGAAGAAAGACATCAGAGGACGATTCGGTAAGAACCGATATTCGGTTTTCCGTGTGAAAACGACATTCTGATAGAGACGGAATTCCATCTTTTCTAAGAGAGATCATTCTGGTGTCTCGCAGACCGGTACTAGCCATGAACACCGCCGCACCGCTCGAAGACACCAGAATACGCACCTGTCCCTGGATCCTCCAACCTGAGCTGCCAATCCGGGCATCTGCTAAAAAAAACTGCCAATCTACTCGAAAATCCGGGACTACTGCACCAGGCGGCCAGGAGGCGACTCAAGGTGAATCCCCGACCGAAATCCCGCTGATTCCCTCGGGATTCGTCGTGTTCGTAGAACACCCTCGACGAGGAAGGTAATACTGAAATGCGCGCCTGTTTCACAGGATAACAAGCCTAGCGGAGGTTCGTCGCGAGCCACCCCCTTTGTTGGTTTCGCCAATCGATTTTCAAGTTTTAAATCAAAATGTCCTAAGACGTCGAGAAATAATAGTTCAGGGATTGAACATTTTCTCAATTATATACTTTGTTAGTCTACAAATTATGCGAAACGGTCTGAAATTGTGGTCTGTGAGGTTCTAGAAGGTTCCGTAAGAAAAAAGGATGTCTACTGTATAGGGTGGTGTCCCGCACAAAATCAAAGTCGACCGGTAATTAAGTGTTGAGATTATCGATTGAGGTAATGTTAAAGAATTCAACATTAAACGACCGATAAAATCGTTTCTTTTTAGATGTTTGACTCGGGCCACTTTCGTAATCAGCCACACGCAATTTAGGTGACTAGTACCTAAACCCTCCACTGTGTGTTTTCGAGGATGTCTTCGAAGGAAGAAAAGGAATAGGCGGTAACATACCAGGAGTCCAGGGGTTGCGAAGGTATCCGAGGAAAAGCGGGTGGCAGAGCGCAGGCTTCGCCAGACCACAAAGGTTTTGATGGGGATGACGGTACGGGGGTGGTAGGCGAAGAGTGGATGGCAGATTGTGGAGGGTGGCTCGTGATACATGTCACAGGATGGGAGACCGTAATGCAATCGTTGTATCTTCAGCACAGCTTGACTATGTTTCACCTATGATCATTTTAAATGTCAATTCGCAGCCCCACTGAGTTGACACCCTACGTTTACCACCTCCTCTTTTATGATATCGCTAATCGTCTGCCACAATTCTGGTATTAATGTCAACGCTTTCTATAGTAATAATTTACGGCATATATTAATAATCCATTGAAAGTAGCGAGTGTCCATATATTTATGAACAAGGGTGTATCTAATCAAAGAGCGATCAAGTGAAAAAGTTCTGTTAAAATCCTTTCGATGCGACTACGTATAAAATTTCGTTCTTTCTCTATTCTTTACTCGAAATTTTGATCTAGATCGATAAGAACGTTGGCCGTTCTTTGACGCAGGATTCATGGAGGTCAGGTTTCTTTCGTATGGAACACTCTTAACTTTTGCTGGGCCGAGTGTAAAGTCCAGAATATCCTTACTCGCGATACATTCTAATACCGGCATAACATTCTACATTCGGGGAAACTTTATGTGGTCCACAGACGCACCGATACGAGCACATCGACATAACAACACCTAGGCGCAACTCCAGGGCGATTGTATTCGTATCGGAGGGCGTTCTACTAAACTACCAGCTTTTACGACTTACGTGCCACGCTCCACACTTTACGTTTACGTTCTATACGTAACGTTATGACCTCGTAACTCCGTCCAAGCGTGTTGATTGAACCGTCGAAATTTCCAGGTTCGAGATATCGACGATCTAAGGGAGAAGCCAGAGCCGTTTGGCCAGTCCATAGATAGGAAGAAACAATGCCGGGGAAGAATAATCGAGAGAGCTGGAAAAATTAGTGAGAAATTTGCGTGAATATTAAATTCAGTACACTTATTCGAAATGAACCTGAATCTTCATTGAATATTTTACATCTAGACATCTTTAACAATATCAATTTCAAATTCAATAAATTGATAAATGATCAATTTTGTTGTCTGCTATACACGACAAAAATGAGAATGTACACACGTATTAAATGCAAGTGAGATAACGGAACACTTTTACCAAGCAGAGTAGTCGTCTAGTTGACGTTTACTTGTACCCGACGAAACAATAGCGAAACATTTTGAAGTGGTTTGAACGTTGTGGCATTACATTGTCTCACTTTACGAGTTCGTGCTCGAATCTCTGTGTAGCTTACATCCCTCTGCCACTTTCATCCCTTTCGACTCTATAAACTAGCTCCCTTGAAATTACTCCATTTTCCTGAAGGTGGTTACCAGGTTTCGCGATGCAGTTCGCCTTGTATATCCAATTACTATTAAACTCTCGATGAATATTAATGTTACACACCTGCGTTTCTTGGAGAACAATTGCTTTCTTTACCGTGCCACCCCCCATCATGGAGGCATCGCTGCGATTTTGATGTAATGTTGTTTCTCCTCGAATGCAAATAAACGATCCAACGACAAAGGAATGTCAGATTCTTGGTAACAAAAGATAGTATACGGGGTGCCCCAGAATTAATGTAACAACCGGAAATGCGAAGTAGTCGAGACGATTTTTAACCACAATTTCCTTCGAAATCTGAAACAATCGACTATGTTCTCGCGATTACAAACGGTTCGAAAGTGAAACTGAGAAAAACAATTGGCAAATATTCCATCTGCCTTTATAATAAAATCATTTTCTATAATACACGAGCAACGTTAAATATTTTAGTTTATAAAAGAAAAGCGAATCGAGACGTAGATAACGGTGTTGCATCGATGGAAAATCAAGAAACACCCAGTGGATGTTTACACGCATATGGACTCGGAGGCAGGCAAGACAATAGAAGTAACGGGGTGGTTTTTGAAATGAGCGATGAAAGAAACGGGGGTAGAGAGTAAGGCAGACGAGGGGTTGTGGAAAGACAAAGGAAGAAGGGTACCAGCAGCGAAGTAAAATAGCAATAAGAGAAATAGGAGGAAAGAAACGGCGCGGCGGGGGAGATTGAGGAAGGGCGAGATTCGGGGAATAAGAAAAGAATTCAGGAAGAGGTAAGAGGGTACGATATAGCAGGGGATCCCCTAGGGCGTATTGCAGCCGCGAAGGTACGTACAGCGAAACAAAAGATACAAAAGTTTGAGAATGTGTAACTCACACGTGGTCAGGTGGCACGAGCATGTGCGTGTTCACGAGCAAGGGAGGTTGCTATGGGTGGAAAATAGAGACGCCCGTAAGATGGATATAAAGTTTCTGGCTAATATGGAGAGGAAGGTAAACGAGGAACAAAGAAAGTTATATTTCGTTTACGATGATGAAATCACTCGAATTGATTTGAATCGATAGTCGATAGTTTACTATAAAGAATTTTCGAAAAGGAGCTTTAAAGGCACCATAACTCCTGAAACTCAATTCAATAGCAGTTGGCAGACTTAAAAATTAGTTCAAGTGTAGATTAAAAAGCAAATCAGACTAGGAGTGTTTATTCAGCAAGTTTAAATGGACTGTTTCTTTGTCTGCCAGTGAACGTGTTAAATTTGTTGTCCGAGTCTGGAAAAACATGAATCGTAATCATACGTACTTTCCTTTGAAACGAAGGAACGAGGTATATCGCACATCCTCTCTGCTTTATTAGGAAACAAAATGCTAAAGCACCTTCCGGAAAAATCCTTTGGACGCGATTGCATTCGTGCGAGGAGACTGCTCTACTCGCAAGCCCGAAAATGTTGTGTTCGGGAAGGGTACATTAACCCCGAGGATGTCCACGTGATCATCCTCTCGGCCGTCGAGCTACAGTTCAAGGAGACACCCTTAAAGGGTCAAAAGTTCGTTCTCTTTGCGTGCACTCTGTATGACATCTTCGAGGGTTGCCTGTGCTCCTGTCGCCTGGCAACGCTGGTTGTTCGACCGGAGGACGATGAAGAGAGATGAAAAAAAAAAAAAAGAAAAAAATGGAACGAGGGACGATCTTACCTCTTGCACGCTTTCCCCCTCGCCGTTACCCCTTGGTCGCTCTCTTTTCCCGATGGTGGCTTTATTTCTACGCACTACTCGACTCAT